CATTTGTACATTGCTGGTGGAACTGCAAATTGGTGCAGCCAATTTGGAAAGCAGTATGGAGATTTCTTGGAAAGCTGGGAATGGAGCCACCATTTGACCCAGCTATTCCCCTTCTCGGTCTATTCCCTAAAGACCTAAAAAGAGCATGCTACAGGGACACTGCTACATCGATGTTCATAGCAGCACAATTCACAATAGCTAGACTGTGGAACCAACCTAGATGCCCTTCAATGGATGAATGGATAAAAAAAATGTGGCGTTTATACACAATGGAGTATTACTCTGCATTAAAAAATGACAAAATCATAGAATTTACAGGGAAATGGATGGCATTAGAGCAGATTATGCTAAGTGAAGCTAGCCAATCCCTAAAAAACAAATGCCAAATGTCTTCTTTGATATAAGGAGAGTAACTAAGAACAGAGTAGGGTCGAAGAGCATGAGAAGAAGATTAACATTAAACAGGGATGAGAGGTGGGAGGGAAAGGGAGAGAGAAGGGAAAATGCATGGAAATGGAAGGAGACCCTCAGAGTTATACAAAAGTACATACAAGAGGAAGTGAGGGGAAGGGGAAAAATAATATAAGGGGGACAAACGAATCTCAGTAGAGGGAGCAGAGAGAGAAGAGGGGAGGGGAGGGGAGGGGAAGGGAGGGGAGGGGAGGGGAGGGGGGATAGTAGAGGATAGGAAAGGCAGCAGAATACAACAGACACTAGTATGGCAATATGTAAATCAATGGATGTGTAACTGATGTGATTCTGCAATCTGTATATGGGGTAAAAATGGGAGGTCATAACCCACTTGAATCAAATTGTGAAATATGATATATCAAGAACTATGTAATGTTTTGAACAGCCAACAATAAAAAATTAAAAAAAAAAAAAGAAAAAAAAAAGATTATTTCTCTATACATCTTTGAAGGGAATTATCCAAGACAATTCATCTCATTCAATGTGATCTAGCCTAAGGGTATCTCAGGTTTGAAAAGGTAGAAGTGATTTTTGCAAATCAGGAAAACTGTGATAATGTACTGTGAAGCTCCAGGTGCTTCATGATTTGAAAAACAAACGAGGTCAAATGTTAACTACTGAGTTTAAATACAGGAGGAGTATTTTACATGTTAGGTTTGAACAACAAAATAACAAGTCATAACTTCTAAACTGAGATAAACTTTTAGTGTGAGAAAAGCCTGGGATTCCTGCAGAATTTATTTGCAATCTTTTACCTGATTCTAATTCAAACTTTGTGTTCAGAAATGTATTGAACATATCAGTTAAATATTTTCCTCTGTGTTTGCATACAAGTCATGAGGTGTTCTTTCCCCCTTTAAGAGTTTATAACAGTTATTACAAACAAGAGATCCTACATTGCCCCATAAACTTGGCAGGTGTAACTGCCTGTTCCTTTCTTCTTCTTCTTTTTTAATCTCACCTCCACTATATAGAGCACTCTTCTAGTATGTACATGTTTGTGGCCCAGAGAGAAGGCAGGAAGGAGAGAGAAGGTGACATATTTGCTTTAAATCTTGCATTAATTTAAGTCTATCAATTTCATCAAGGCTGAAGAAAATGAATCATTTCAAAGTTCCCAATAAACAAAATAGATATGCTGCATCATTACCAAAATTATGACTGCATTGCTTAAATATTAAATCTAATTCAGAATAGAATTTGCAAAGTGATATGAATTTTTAATTGAAATTTATTTTAATTGATACGTTAAAAACAAAGATTGCTCATATTCCTGGGGTAAACATGGGATGTTTCATCAGATTAAATACATTTCCTCAAATACTCTTTACTTCTGAATGGTGAAAACTTTTAAAATCCTTTCTTCTCACTTTCTGGACTGTACAGTACATTATTATTACCTGCAACCACATAACCGTATGATAGCACAGCAGAACTTCTTGCTTTTATTTAACTGTGAGTACCCATTGGAAAATACTTACTAACCTTTCATTGATAATTAGCATTAGATAAACATCGATTGCTGTGGACATGGATCTATGTGGGAGGCTGAACAATCAAGAGTGAGTGATAAAAACTGGGTAACTTCCCACGCTTTTCTGTCCTTCATTTCCTATCTCACTACTCTCTTCCACCCACTCTATATCTCTGAGATTGTACTCCCTAATAAAATATAGCATATGCTACCACTGCCTTTGCTTTATAGGGACCCAAATTAAGATAATGATAATGAAATTTATTTTGTACTTTGCACTTTGGTCCATAGCCAAAGAAAATTAAAATAAGCATAGCAAAATGTAACATGGTATACTTGCTGTGATAATTAAACTCTTTCCATTCATAGTGAAAAGTTTCTTATCTGGGTCATGTTAAAACTGAATATGTCTTCCCACATACATGGAGACATTTATAATATTTGCCTGGCTCCATGCCCATCCTTGATTGCAACAAGAAATAAAAACACCTTAGAGAGAAACAAAAGATATCACAAAACATTTTGAAAGAGAAAAAAGAGAATTGAGAAATCATATTCTCATAAAAACCCAGTGTCACTAAAAATATCAAATATGTTTACAAAACCTCTAAAATTATAAATTCATTTGCATATAAATCAACCTTTTTAGTTCAGAAGTGAGAAATTCTGGTGTAGAATAGTAACCCCTAACTCCAGAGTGCTGCTCTGGGGTCTTGGAACACAGAGATCCAAGAGATATTTCAGAAACATACATGCAGAGATATTTCAGAAATTTGCTAAATATGGAACATTGCATGTTCTCTGTCAAGAGATTTCTAGTAAGGAGACAGAGAAACAAGGCAAGAAAAATAATTCTAAGCTGGAGGATTGGTTTAGCCAGGCATCCCAAAGAAATCAGTTGCTCCATTGACTTATGGTTGGTCTTCTGCAAGAGCCGTCCCTGAGTTCACATTGGATTTCTCAGCAACCAGTGGTTAGAATTTAGAGACATTAACTGTGTCTTTATACTAGGGTTTCCCTTTTGGGCAAAACAATATACATTTTTGTTGGCATCTTAAGATTAGAGTTAGAGAATTTAACACCCAAGGTTTATAAAACAGTTCTTGTGACTCTTTGCTACTAGAAGTGCATTTAAATTGTGCTAAGAGTTTAATAAGGTTTGTTATTATAGTGATGTTCTGAGTTTTCCAAATTAAAAAAAAAAATGTTTGACGGTTCTGAATTCTAGAGATTCAAGGTAAACTCAAATAAAAAATTTCAAATAGCCTCTTCCTTGATGTGGTCAACAGAGATACTTTGAGTAATATTCTCTCAGGGAAGTGGGATAGAGGAGCCATCTGATAAAGTGATGAGAAATAATAACTCCCTAAGGCAGATGCCAATGTATGTTGGACATGGTGACTCTGCAGTTCTGTTGCTTTTGTGGATAGATGTTGACTACCAGGAAATTTAAACAATGATTCCTTATTCTCTTCATATTTGTGAAGAGAATTGTCAGTTTTATCAGATGAGAGACAAGGATGAATATGTTGAGATATATTGATATCAAGGGACAGGGTTAATAGAGAATGCTAAAAATTTAAACAGAAGTATGAACTTTAGTGTCTTACAAACTATGTAAGCCATTTTAGGTCTTCTTATCAGTATTACAAAGATAAAAGGCTATTTCTCAAGTCAGATCAATATTGTATCAAGAAGTTATTTGGTAATGCTTAGCTGCCTTCAAAGGGTATTGAAAAGAATAACTAAAATGATGGCTGTGAGCCAGTTTTATAAAAATAAGGGTAGTGTACTAATGTCAGTGATTGTTACTTGCTGTTACAGTAGCTGTTCTGATTTTATCCTCATCTCAGGGGGAAGTTTTAGAATATGAATTACAATTATTCTTAGTAGACTAACCAAAACTTGGGTTAGTGGAATCCCTTTTCAATCACATTCTACTCAGTCTTGCTATTAAATACTTCGTAAATTGAGTTGAGAGTATGCTAATTGGATTTGTGGACAATCCACAGCCAGGAATAAATTCTTTAGGAGAGGATTAAAATATAATAGGATTCTGATAAACTTTAAGAAATAAGCCAACTGTCCACCAAATGAGATTTTCTGAAGGTGTTCACAAAAGCCCAAAGCATTAAATAAAATGCCTAAAATAACAAGATTCATTCATCTTTCAGCAGTATTATTTATAGACACATTAAATTTTTATTCTTCAATCTTTCCTTTTATGCTAAATTCAGATTTTCTTCTCTTCTGCTGTTCCTCTTTGTTTTCTGCACGTCTCTGGGTATTTCTCCTATACCATTTTCCCCCCATTGTTACTCTTTGAGTTAAAATTTGATTCTGCATAGATTGGATTATTTGCAGTGAAAGACGGAGTTTGTTATTTCAAAGAAAACTTTGAAATTAAGGGAATATCTTATGGAAAATTGCATGAAAACTTTCCATGAATTACATGGTCAGGAGAGTCCTTGACCACGTGACTTAGCACAGAGGGACAGACAAAAAACATCTAGCCATTTTCTTCATGAGCATCTTTAACATCACTAATTACTAATTACTAATGTCTATTGTAACTATTACTAATGTCACTTCTTGAATCATATCAGACTTTTTCTAAGTTCAAGATCACTATGTTTAAATTGCTCAAAATACAGAAGTTTTTGAATCAGTATAAGATGCAGCTACTGAATATTCAGTCACAATCCTTGGTTGCCAATTCTTATAATATTAAAATTGAGTTGGCTTTTATTTATTTATTTATTTATTTATGTGTTTACTTTTGATCTTACAATTTATTTATTTATTTTTAACAGCATATGAATATTTATTTCAACAAGCTGAAGTTTTTTGAGTTTTGATGAGACAAAATGTTTCATATGGTCCAATTTTGCAAATCTCTTATTATGGGACTATTATATATCAGATGCAATGGTGTAGTAAAGTATTTTACAGGGAAGCAACTAAGATTAGGGCTAATTTTTCCAAGGCAACCCTTTTGACTCTAATTATTAAGCACCCAATATATCAAAGGATGCTTACAAATGGATACATCAGGTGCATTTACAATATTCTCTTGAGAGTTTATTATAAACCAGTCTCATAGGCCACAAGGAAAATAAAAGGACTATGTACAGCCTTACAGGAAACAGGCAAGGAGCTGAGGAGGACCAAGATGAGTCTAGGGCCTTGGTGGGCGCATTCCCGGGGGAGGGGACCCTGTAAGGGAAACCAGACAAAATCCGGTGAGACTCCGGGAGCAACAGCATAACAAACAAACAGGTCTGTGGTAACGTGGCCCTGGGGAATCGGGCCCACGCCTCTGTGGAGCTACTTCCATAACTCTGTGGCCAAGGGTCAAAGAAGGCCGCGCATCCCTGGGGGAGGGGGCCGCATTCCTGGAGGGGGCATGCCCATCGGGGTCCCTCGTCCAGGGGGAATCCCCATTGGGGGACCCATAGGAGGCCTCATACCAGGAGGTGGGCCCATCATGCCTGGAGGGGGTGCCCCTCGGCCCATAGGTGGTGGAGGACCCCCATGGCCTGGTGGGTACTGGGTTGGAGCTCCTGCAATACTGGCAGTGGCAGCAGCAGTAGCTGCTGCAACAGTGCCTCTTCCTTGAGGGGTCATCACCTGTTGGGATGGCCCACCAACCCCACGGACTGGTCCAGCAAGACCTGCAGGAGCCTGGGGCATAGGAACACCAGCTGGGATTCCTCTGCCAGCAGCCCTGCCAATTCCTGGGCCCCCAGCAGCTCCAGCAAGTGGCCCTCGAGCAATGCCAGTATCTTTGGGAGGGGGTCCTTCTGCTATCATCGAGACCAGGTTCTCCCCTCGAAGCAGCACCAGACCAAGGACTCGCTTCTCTTCCCTTTCTGCTTGTTTGGAGTTCTTTGGCTTGATCTTTCTGAACTCATCACAATCACAGAGGATCAAATTCATATGCTTGTCGAAAGCCTTGAAGGTGCCAATGAAGATCCAGCCATCTTGCAGGATGCATCTCATCCTGTAGTCGATGTGCTGCAGCATCTTGCTGCTCTTGCCCACAGTCATGGTGGCGGTTCTGATGGCTCCGATTCCCGCTGGATTTGCCTCCGCAGAGGCCTAGAGACCCGCCAACAACCGGATTCTGATCTTACAATTTAAACACTTTTAGTTATTGCTTTTAATGGTGGTCTTTAAGGGGCTTTTGATAATGTATTTAACACTTGCAAGAGTGAGGCCATACCCTCAGAAATAATCACAAAGTCTGTGTTCAATCTCTGCCTCCTTTGTCATTAAATTTGACAGGTGACACCTATAATTATCTAAAAGTAGTATTGATTGATGTTTTTTGTATTCCCTAAAGAGAATTTTGTTGTTAAAATAACATAAATATGTGTAATAGACATAACACATATTTATGTGTTATTTATGTTGGATAACATAAATATGGATAACATAAATATGGATAACATATTTATGTTATCCATCAAGCAGATTTCACTTTAAGAAAGGTCTTGGTTCCTCACCTGCTGGGATAATGAAATGAAATATCTACTTCTTGGACATTTTTAGATCTAAACCTCTGTGATTGAAGAGAAATTGGGTTTCTCTGAGGAAAGACCTGGTAGCCCACCTAAAGCAATTGGTTGTAATAGTGATTCTCTCAGTCCTTCTGAAGTACCCATGGCCATTTATTCCACACTATAGAAAGCAGAATTTTTAAACTAAGGAATGTTGGAATCAATACTCAGATCAATGGTGATACCTGGAGACCTGAAGAGTCAGCGTAGTCCCTTTGCTAGTGTAGAGGAATGTGATGGGTATCTAACAAATGATGTTGTATCTAAAGCCAGACTCTCTGTGGGTCTACATGGTCTGTTAACTTATCCAGGGGTAATTTGTCTGTCCCTCCAATATATAACTGGGCTAGACATACTTGGGATTTGGTATAGTTCCTACATTGTACCTAACTTGCTTCATAATAGATATAGTTCTTTGTCTATAGACTAATAGCTGTTACAGAGGGAAGACTAGACAAATCCCCTAAAAGTAGTCCCCTATTCTGCCAAAATAGTGAAATAAATTTGTACCACCCTTAACATATAAAGGATGATTCACATCATAATTCCATTTAACTCAATCATCTGGCTTCTACAGAAATTGGAAAGATCCCAAAGTTCCCAAGTTTAGCCTTCATGTTTCATCTTGTATTTTTGCTAAGGTACCTGGTATATGGCCTCAATTTGGTGAAGGAGTTTTTCCTTTGCCCTATTGGAAGAGAAAATTAGAAACAGCTTCCATTCACATGTAGCATACAGAAGTATACATTTACCATTTTTCCTTAGGGCTGTTAATTAGCCCTCCCAGAGCCATAACAGAATTTGTTACCATCTAATCGGTCTGATACCCATAGACTCACATTGAGCCAATGTGTCACACTACACACTAGTCAAGCTAGATATATGAGAAGCAGGTAGCATGTTAGAGACTTTGTTTGGGCATGTGGGCTTCAGAGGGTGGGAGACAAGTCTCATATATATTCAGAATTCTTTTGATGTCACTAAAATATTAAATGGCCAATAATTGAACCAAGATGGGCATGCCAAGAAAAATAAAACTGTATATTATTGTACCTTTCACCATGAAGAAAATGCAATGCCAGATAAGCTACTTTGGGTCTTGGAAGCCACAAATCCACACCTGGGGATACTGATCTGGCCCATGTATTACTGAAGAGAAGAACTGCCAACTAAGAGTGGGGCCCAGGGCAAGAAAGAGCTCTGTATCATGTCCAGTTTTGGATATAAGCAGTCTTGCTCTTTGGGCATATAAACCAGCAGACTCAATAATACTAGAGACTTCCGTGGTAGAAAAAAGATGCTATGTGTAACATAAAACAAGTTCCAGTTCCAGTGAAAAAAATCATAATACATGTTCCCAGAAGTCTGGAGTATAGCCAAGCCACCTGCAGTGGGGAACTATATACCTTTTGAAAAACAAACTTGTCATGTATTACTGGGCCCCAGTACAAAAATGAGAAGCTGACCATGGTCCATCAAGTGCCCACATGTCTGGAACTGTATCAGATGGGCCCAGAAAAAAATCTATCAAAGTATGGAATTGGTATATTCAAGATCTAGTATGAGCAGAGACAGAGAACACAAGCAAACTATACAAGCAGGTAGCTCAATTTCTCATATTATCCATCATCATGCAACAGGACCTTTCTCTCGTGTCACCTCTATGACCCTATGGGTGGTGATGGGGTCTTGAAAAATCTGATAAGAAGGGAAAGAAAATCTATGGCTGTTTCACAAATGGGTATAATTGGAATATGATTATAATCCAAAATTTGACAGTTGCTATGTATCTTTAATTCAGAAGCAGACTCGGAAGATTACCAGCAAGGAGATATTCCCACAATTGGAAGAGCTTCCAGCAGGCAGATAAATAAACGGAGGTTAGGATATATACAGAGGCATAAGCTTTGGAAAATGGCTGGCCAAGTTGTTCGCAAGTCTGGAATAAGACTGAGCTATCAGGGACAAGGCAGACAGGACAGAAGCATGTAGATGGTTATATAGGAGTGGACCCAGAGTAAACATATTTTTGAAGTATCACACAACAGTACCTATAAGAGAATATCTACCATAGGAGAGATATTAAGCAAGGTAGTATAAAAGCTGGGTTAGTAAATATAAGTCAGCTTCTATTAATAGTCACTGCAGTCTTGTCACAAAGAGCTCAAGTACAAGGTGGTCACAATGGAAGAATGGAGGTTATGTGTTGGCTTCTACATACCAAGTCTGGTCAAGCTATTTCACAAAATGTCCAACATGCCAGGAATAGAGACCAATGCAGAGTCCCAACTATAGCATTGTCTTTCAAGAAAACCAACTGGCTACTTGGAAAAGGGAGTCCTTTTCAAACAATTTATTTTCACAGATGTGAACATATATTCCATGTAAGTAAACATATAATCCATATTCCATAGGATTTCAACAGTGTCAGATAAGTAGATCCACTGTATAGCAAAGGAGACTTGAAAGTAGGATACCCTAGGATCTACTGGTCACGTTACATATTGTGCCACCCAGAAGCTACAGATATTACAAGGCCTTAGAAAGCCCACTGAATGTATAGCCCACTAACTGTACCAGTTTAGCAATGACACTTTATGAGGATGTGTCACAGTCTTTTGGGATGCAGAGTTCACCTTACATTGAAGATTTTAATAGCATTATCTCTTAAATAGGAGAGATACTTGGGCCTGAAAAAGTGACACATGCCTGTAATCCCAATGGCTCAGGAAGCTGAGGCAGGAGAATTTGAGTTCAAAGTCAGCCTCAGCAACAGTGAGGTGCTAAGCAATTCAGTAAGACCCTACATAAAATACAAAACAGAGCTGGGGAAGTGGCTCAGTGCTTGAGTGTCCCTGAGTTCAACCCCTCACCACTCCCTCCCCCCCCAAAAAAAAAAAAACAATAGGAGAAATACTTGGGGTAGAAGAGCAAGGAGTGGAATCAGCTGTACCCTGCTTTCCATCATTCTCAGTTACTTGCTGGGAGACTGGGCTTTACATATGGACAAGTCTGGGCTTTATAGGGTAAGAGATCTTAGTCTCCACAGGTCAATACTTGAAGAAATAAGGGTCTTGTTCAACTATAAGCTGTGACTGCTTCCTGACCACTTTGGCTTCCTTGTTTCTAGAAACTATCACTTGAGAAGAAGAATCACTAGCTTGGCAAAGGTAATTGGTGTGATCAAGAGTAGGTGAGACTGCTGTTACACGACAGGTTAGGGAGCGACAAGCGTGGGAGCCAGGTGATACACTGGGTTTTATTTTGTCCCCTGGAGATGAGAATATGTTACTCTTGGGTAAGCCAATAAGACCATTAGAGGTGCCAGCAAAGTTGAGGGGAATCTAGAATGTGCAATAGAGGAGGGAGGCAATGGGTGTAAGATACAGTGGCAGGGGCACTGACTGTTCTTCCTACGTTTCCTTTATGCAGGGAGGGCCACCTGCAACTTGGATGGTGTGCATGATGAAGAAAGAGATCTGAGTGGCACCAGGGTTGACTGTGATGGACAAGGAGTTCCACTGCAGACATATCCCTTCAAGATAGGATTTGTTGCCCCATATATTAACAACCATCAGAAGACACTCTCCTTTTGCTGCTTCTCTCAGATGTTACCTCAGCCTCAAAGAGCCATTGCATGCGAGGTCACCTCTTTCCCAGTGTGAGCAACATCTGATGCATAATGAAGAGGAGAGTATAAATGCCTGGTCATTTTGACCCAACATAAGACAATTCTGGTGGGTTGTTTTTGCTCTGGAGCTCAACTTCTGTCCCTTCCTCTTTCTGCTTCCTTCCCTTTTCTTCCTTTTCATGGTGTTGATATCAAGGATACTCACAAATGAACAACCTGCATCCTAAACACCTTCTAAGGTATGTTCCTGAGAATACTCAACCTGCAACGGAAGACTTGCAGCTTAAGGAGTTCCTACTAGTCTATGAAAAACAATAGAAATAAATATTACTATTAGACCATTAAGGGATTATAAAGTATATGTGTGCTGAGATCATATGGTGAAATCACTCCATGGATACCAGTTAGCTAAGTGCAGTGGCAGAAATGGTTCAGTATCAGCTGATTGTCTTATAAATGGTATCTGGTGGCCGTAAGTGGGTATAGGTAGGAATAGAAGTGCACACATAAGAATAAAATACTAAGTGCAAAATTCCTGAGTCATGCCCCTTATTAATGATAGGGCTATTTAATCAATCACCAACTATCTGTCCTAATGTAATTTGCCTTATATTGGGGCTTCTACCTGATGTGGAAGGATAGCAAGAAAGTGGCAGAATCCCAGAGCCTAAGCTTGAATTCTGTGGCTGTATTTGAAACCCTGTCTGAATTCCTATTATGGTTTGGATCTTAAATGTCCTCCCAAAGCTCACGGGTTCAAGGCCTCGTCCCAGCTGATGGTGCTATGCAGAGGTAATGGAAACTTTAAGAACAGGGGCCTATTCAGAGAAAGGTAGGTCATTGGAGGTACACCACTGAAGGGTGTATTGGGACCAGGGCCTGTTCCTCTCTCTCTCAGCTCAGCTGTCCTCTCTCCCACCTATAATGA